AAAAAAAAAAAAAAAAAAAGACAGTATGTTAACTCTTCATTCCCTGTAACTGTGAGGGTGTAGGATTTGCAGTTGGGAGGAGGGGCGGGGATGTGTATTTTGAAAGAAGCCCCCCTGAGGATCCTGATACATCCTCCACGACAGCCCCACTGGGCTGGGAGGACTTTCTTCACATTCCCACTTACCACAAGGAAGCTAATGAGCTCTCTGTAGCTTGCAATTGTTCTAGGCCTTTGGTTTCAAATCTGAAAAACCAACCCCAAGTCCCCCACCTCCTAGATGAGCTCTGGACTGTGCCTTCCCTCAGGTCTGCCCCTGCCTTCCCTTTGTGTTCTTACTCAGCCTCCCTGGTTTTCTTTCAGCTCCTCAATGTGCCCTGCTCCTCCTGCCTCAGGGCTTCTACACACACTGTTCCTCTGACTGGAATGCTCTTCCTTCCCCTGCACAGCTAGGTAACTGCTCATCTTTCGGGTCTCAGCTCAATCCTGCCACCCAACTGGGCCGAGTCCTCTGTGTGCTCTCGCACAAGGGGCTTGCTCAAAGCTTTTTCAGTTCCTGGTCTGCAGTCCATTCGTGGACTGATATGTCCCGCATGCCCCAACCCCCGACTCCCCATTTGCATGTGTGCATCCCCCATGCTGGCCTGGGTGAGCACTTGGAGCTGACTGCCTTCAGGGCCCGAACAGTATCTTGCCCTCAACCACCTTGCAATCTAGCTGGCATCAGAACTCTGATTCAGAGGTTCCTACTCCGCTGCACTGATGGTACACATCTTTAGATCGAGCCAGCAAGGAGTAGTGGCTGTTCCCTGGCAGGGCCAAGGAGTCCATTCAGGGGCAGGCCCAGAACCTGAGATAAGAGGGAAGAGCCAAGTCAGGTAGTCACTGTATTTTATTGGAAAACATTGATATATATTTTTCTTCACAGCTTGAACTGAACACAATATTGCCCGGTTTAAAAAACAAAACAAAACAAAACAAACCTAAAACATTCTGCAAACGTCCACAGCCTCACGCCTACCTGCCCTTACCCTCAGCTCTTGGCTGGGTCACCCACCATGCCCTGTCCCTCCCTCCCTCCGAGGCTTCGTGCCAGAGGGTGGATGAGAAGAGATTCTCCAAGCTGGGCAGGTCCCAGGAAAAGCCACTTTGATCGACCTGGGCAGTGGGTGGCAGGGGGTGGGGAGAGCCAGATAAAATGAACAGAAAAAAAAAAAACCCAGATGACTGAACTGCCCACATTGACTTACTTGTCCCAGAGGCGAAAGTCAGAAGCAAGGGCACGGATCATGCTCTCCGCTGCGGAAGTGTGGGGGGCAGGCAGGTGGGTGAGGGGAGAGGCAGGGGAGAGGAGGGCACACAGACAGCACAGATGTGAGGAAGCGGTGCCAAGTCACCACGGAGAAGCAGGAGGTGCCGGCTGACCAGGAAGCAGAGGCTGCCCTTGGCTGCCATCCTCTAGGCAGCTGGCCGACAAAATTTTTTATTGCAGGTATGATCTCTTGAGAGCATGGTGGGGGCTCATCTTCCCTCTCCCCACCCTTCAGCTAGCCCGGCATGGTTTTTAACAGAATGTAACTTTTAAGGGGCATGAAGGGGGAAAAAAAAAGAAAGGACAACCAGTACATTACAAAGTGACCAACCCCATATCCATTCCTAGGATAGGCCCTCAGGCAGGTGGGACGGGTAGGTGGGTACATCATGAGGAGGGAGTGGCACAGGATGTTAGCACCAGGTATTTACAGAACAGCTTGAGATCGCTTTAGGAACATGCACAAGTGCAATTTGCAGAGTGGCCAAATGAGCAGTCCCCCACCCAGCCCAACCTCAGAAAGCCAATCGGATGGTTTCAGAACAGCAGCCGGTGGGATCTGAGTGCAGTCCACTCTGTCTGTCCCCTACTGTGAGTCAACCTCTCAAGTGATAAAAGAATGCCAGCTTCCAAGACCCCCTTGCTCCTCAACCCCCTCCTGGGCCACAATCCAGTCAATGCCACAATTCTTCAATCCCCCCTCAGTCCTTCTGGAATGCCTCTCTTGGCACCCCTGCCCTAATAGGCTGCTGGGACTTGCACGTGGACTCACAGAGCTGGTTGCATGCAACAGCAAAGGGCATGCTCTTCTGCCTGGGTTAGGGCCTCGTTCCCCTCCCTAGCAGGTCCTGGGACAGGGCTGGCAGCCACCCCAGCACCCAAAATAAGATGACAAACAAAAGGAGACAAACTGAAACAGAGGAGAGCCACCCGGGCTGGAGGAGGGCAGAGGCTCCCCTGAGGGGAATGGGGGTTAGAGGGTTCATCTTATGAATGCATCAGGCCTTGGAACGTGTGAATAGAAGGAAGGAGGGCAAAAGGAAGAGGTGACGGGGCATGGAGGGAGACTCAAGGAGGAAGGAGAAAGAGCAATCATGCAGCTTGGGACAAATCTTTTGTTGCTTTATCAGATTCTCAGTCAATCAATTGGTGTTTGCTAGAACTGGGGTACGCAAGGGAGTGTTGAAGAGAGAGTGCGCGCAAGAGAAGAGAGAGATCAAGAGAACGGGCATCACCAGCTGCCCGCAGGCCTTCACTTTGCAGTCATCATCTGTACAAACTCTGTGAAGTGAAGCAGAGAGAGAGGAAGTCAGGTGAGCCAGGCTGAGCCCTGAGCGACCCTCCCTGGCATGAGGGACCTGGTGGCTTGTTCCTGAAGCTGCAACTCTCTGCTTGCCCAGAGATGGAGCCTGGCATTGACTCACCTTCATAATTGACCTGGCCATCTCCATCGATGTCAGCCTCTCTGATCATCTCGTCCACTTCCTCATCGGTCAGCTTCTCCCCCAGGTTCGTCATTACATGACGCAGCTCTGCAGCGCTGATGTAACCGTTCCCATCCTGGGGGTTTGGGATAAAGGCTTTCACTCAGCACTTGCCCCGGTGGGAGACAGGCAGCAGACAGGTACTGTCATCACCCTCACTGGGCAGGGAGCAAAGTGAAAGGGGTTGCCTGAGGCTGCAGAGCAGGCAGGCAGGCAGTGGGGCTGACACCAGGACCCAGGCCTCCTGGAAGTGGTGGCTTGGTGCAACACAGGCCTGGAAAAGCCGCAGGCACCAGTGCAGCACACTGGGCTGTGCCAGGCAGACCTGTGGGAATGAGGCTGCCTGATGCTTTGGGAGCCCAGATGGCCAATTGTGCCCAGGATGAAGGAGTTGGAGTCAAAGAAGACTATTAGGCTCCGATTCTGCTGCCTGTCCAAAGGCTGGCATCAGTCTGAGAGACACCCTGGGAAAGGACTGCTTACCTTGTCAAAGACACGGAACGCCTCTCGGATCTCCTCCTCACTGTCTGTGTCCTTCATCTTTCTGGCCATCATGGTCAGGAACTCTGGGAAGTCAATGGTCCCATTCCCTGGAAGGTGGGGGAAATGCTCTAGACTTGGGCCCTAGGAGATGACCCCAGAGCCCTGACAGAGGAGGTACTGACTCATTCATCGCCCTGAGGGAGGCTTCCTGCAGTCACTTGGGGGTGCCCAGGAATGGGGCTGCCCACCCACTCCTTGTGGGCTCACCATCTGCATCCACCTCATTGATCATGTCCTGTAGCTCTGCTTCAGTGGGATTCTGTCCCAGGGATCTCATCACTGTCCCCAACTCTTTGGTGGTGATAGTGCCATCTCCATCCTTGTCAAATAGGGAGAAGGCCTCCTTGAACTCTGGGGGAAGAAAGGGAAGGAATCAGGGGTCAGGAGGCCCACAGGGAAATCCTTACCTCTGGATGCTAGACTCCCTCCCTGGAGGAAGGCCAAGGGAGCCAGTCCTACCTAAAGAAACTGAGACAAGTTTCAAGTTCAGCCCAACCCTCTCTCCTCAGTGCTCAGGGCAGAACCCTTCCTTCTTTCATCCAACAGTTACTGAACATCTACTCTGTGCCAGGGAAAGTGATCTCTAGGTTTGGACAAACTAGTTCACTGAGGACAGTAGGGAAAAATGGGCTGACAGCTGTCCTTAGATAATTGTACATTTCTTTTTGGTCCTTAGCTTCGGTCTCTCACACAAATGATGAAATGGATCAAAGTCATGGAGTGGATGAGAGCTAAGAGAATTCTTCACCTGAAGTATGCCAGCCAAGGTCAACTGACTAGGAAGAGAAGAGAAGGGAAGGAGAGGCTGTGGAATGCCTTTGTCCAGCCCGAAAATGAAATGTAGGTACTAAATCTCTTTGAATTTTACTGCCAGCCCAGCTTCCTGCTGTGGATGCTACCCGCTTCCAGAAGAGGAGCTGAGCCACCATGTGTGGTGAAGGGTGGGGGTGGTCGGCAGCAGAGCATGGCTGATGGACGGTGCGTGGGGTGGGTGGGGTAGATGGAAGGAGAGAGGATGGCTGCCAAGCCAGGAGGATGAGGAGCTAGTGGTGCTGAGTGGGAAGGCCACAGCTGGGGACACATCAGGAGAGGGGAGATGCTGTTTGCTGAGCAGAGAGAGAAGCATGTGGCTCCTGCCCTCCCACTGTGCCCATTTTGGCACCTGGTGCTCCCCTACCCCCAAACCCTCAGAAAACAGATGCCTGGCAGCCTATTCTCAGAGGATGTGGGCTGGGGTGAGGTGGTGGACAGTTTGCTAATGGGGACAGGGTGAAAAGTGGAGTGTTTGTGTTAAACAAGGGCAGAGAGATGGGGTGTGGGTGACAGGTGGGGTGGGAGGGACACACACAGCTGAGTAGCTGTGACCCTGAGCCTCTGGGCCCTGGGGAAATGCTAAGAGTCTGCTTAGGGATGTTGGCACCTCCCTGTGCTGAGGCCTTGTTGTTCTTGGGGAGGGGGGCAGGGAACAGGTCATGTGGGCACTCTGAGCTCCTGATCACTAAACAACAAGGCAGTTCTCTGGCTTTCCTTAGTGGGTCTCCATAGCTGCCTGGGGCCAAAGTTTAGAAGCTGCAAGTGTGACTTTGTGTGTTGGGGGAGGGGGAAGAAAGGAGAGAAGGCAAGTCCATTGGTGCCTCCTCCCACTTCAGAAACTGGGCATTCAGTATTTGTCACATAGCTAGCTGAACCTGAGAGTGAAGCTGGTGTTTAGGGGCCCATTCGCTGAGTCTTCCCTCTTGTCTATTTTGTGTGGGCCTATGGCTATGGAGATAAACCAAGAGCTGGTCTCTGTCTTTAGGTAGCTCAGTCGGGGGAGCGGGGGACACAGTAAAATACTTGATCACACAACAGCTCCTGCAGCTGACCTTTCTGGGGTTTTGGGGGGCTACAAAAATGAATTACATGGATCCAGAGATTCCTTTTAGTTCACTAGGAGATATACGATCCTTTACTTGTTCATTTGTTCAGCCAGCAAAACTTTCTGGAGCACCTACCATGTTCTAGGCACTGAGGGTACAGCAGGGACCAACAAAATCAAGTCCCAAACTCAAGGACCTCACATCTACTGACTGGACATACAACTGGTGAAGACATAAAATAATTTCAGACAGTGAGAAAGGCTGCAAAGGAAATCAGCAGAGTGATGTGATGGAGAGTTTAAAGGAAGGCTGTCTACTTGAAACAAGGCAGGAAAGTCCTCTCCAAGGTGACATTTGAGCTGAGATGTGAAGGATGAGAAGGAGCTGCCCATGCTAAGAGCTGGGAGAGAAGCATTTCTGGCAGAGGAAAAGCAAGTGCAAGCACGTGCAGAAGGAAGTGCAAAGCGCAGGCAAGTGCAGAGGTGGGAGTGACGAGCCATCTCCTGGGCGGCTCCTAAAGTGGGACAAGAGCTCCACAGGGTGGCAGGGAGCTCACCATCTAAGCCTATGTGGTTGGAGCCGGAGAAACAGCTGGGTTTGCCTTGCAGCCACTAATTTCAAGGCTCCTAGATGACCCATGGCCAGGAGAGGAACACAGCCTTTGCTGTCTGGTGAAGGTCTGTCTCAGGACCATGGGGTTTGACATCACTGGGGCACTGGTGTGCTTTTATAACATTTGCCAACATTCTAGGCACAAGGCACAGGTGAGGTAAGGAACATACATATTTATCTATCAGCTGTTAGTCTTAGGTAGATAAGATTTGGCTGGGGATGCAAAGGTTTTCCTGAGGCAAGACAGGGGGGTATATGGTAGGCAAACTCACCTGCGATCTGCTCCTCAGTCAGCTGGTCAGCCTAGAAAATCAGGAAGGAGAAAGTTAGTCACTGAACCAGCCATCCACCAGGGATGTATCTTCATCACTCAGCCCAGCCCCCTCTGGTGAGGCCAGCTGCACACGGCAATCCTGCTGGGCAAGGGAAATGCATGCCAGAGTCAGGGTCTGAGGCAGGGCCCGGGCCCGGGATAAAATCTGGTGATTCAGAAACCTGGGTACTAGGGTGGGCTGGAAACTCACGCAGGCCTGATTGAGCTAGCAGGACCCATGGGATTCAAGTCTCTTCCCAGTGCACTGGAGCCACAGGGATGGTAAAAATGCCTGATGCAGCTCCAAACTAGCCACACTGGAATGGTACAGGTTCATGTCTCACCGCTGGAAGCCCCAGAGGCTGAGTGAATAGAGCAGTTGCCCCAGAGGCCTAATCAAGCAGCTCTAGAAGGCTCCAAACTGAAACAGGCCAGTCCTTGGGTAGGGCAGAGGAAAGATGTCTGGGGCTATCTTTTCTAGTTTCTGTGTCACCTATTTGGAGGCACTAGGCTCAGGCAGAATGGACCCAAGTGGCAAAAATTCTCCTAACTGGTGGCTCTGAGTTGCTCCAAGTATCTGAAAGAACCCTGGTCAGGCTGGAGGCAGCCGCACCTGTGCTACACCTCTGCCTCCCCCCGCCCCACCCCCAGGGTAGGTGCAGGGCAGGGGACCATTCTGTTCTGTTTCTTTCGGGCAGGAGAGACAAATGCCTGGGAGGGGACTGCAGCAGGCAGCAGCAGTGGCAAAGGACTGCAAAGGACTGAAGTTGGCTTCCCCAGCAACGCTGCAGTTTTTAACCCTTTCTGGCCACTCTAGGGACCAGCCAGTCAGTGGCAGGGAGCCCTTGCTGCATGCGGGCTTTGGGGGTAGGGTAGAGGAGATGCAGGGACTAGCTTTTCCTGCACTGGTGTGTTGAGAATCGGCCAGGTATAGAGATTCTGTGGGGGAGAAGCTAGATGGAGGGCTGAATCCCAATATTTGGCTTTAAGCAGTTAAGACAACTTTTCCTTGGTTTTCATGCATGGTGCCAAGAACGCCCCGCTATCCCTGGACCACTGTGGGTCCAGATGACTGTTCCTCTTCTTTTACTTCCTTTCACAATTAGGAGAAAGGGGCTCAAAGTCTTCAGCAGGATTCTAGCCTTTAGTCTGAGAGTCCCAGAAACCGGATGCAAACTATTGTGTATACTTGCATTATTCCACACAGAGGTTCCAGAGTTTCCACTGGAGGCCAGGAACCTGCCCTCCCCACCCCCCACTATTAAGAACCACTGGTCTAGGTTTTTTTTTTAAAAAAAACTAAGGGAAGAGAAACTTAAGGCCAAGACTCAAATAGGCAGAATGGGAGGGGAAATCAAAGTGATGATGACAGAGGGGAGATGGCTGGGGGAGGGGGGAGAAGGGAGGTAGAGAAGAAAAACCACACATGCACATTCTGGAAAAGTCCAGTCTAAAGGGAAGTGTAAGAGGCCAAATGGAGACTCTTCTGCATTGCCTTCATAAAGGACTCAGGGTTGTTGGGCTCCTAAACACCAACCTGGCAGCCCCAGGCCCATGAGCCCTTGTTCCATTTGCCTTCCTTGGCTTGTATAAGGAAAAAAGCCCAAGCCCAGCCCCTAGGTCCTGACACCTGAGGACGCTGCTTGGGGAAAGTGAGAAGAGAGGATGGGCTTCTGGTTACCAAAGTCAGGCAATGCCAGGGGAGGGGGAAGAGGAAACACAGAGAGGAGAGGAGTGTCTGGGGAGGAGGGCTGTCATTCCATCTGCTTTTATTCTCTTCCCCTGGCCTAGAATGGAAAAAGCAAGGCTAATTAGGGACCTTCCCACCCCTTTGCACCGCTCTGCAAGAAACCCAGTTCTCCCCCACCTTTGGGCAGCACTGTAAGGGGCTGGGGGTTGGGGTAAGGTGGCTGTGACAGGTTGCAGAATGCCCAAGGAGTTTGGTGTCTACCATTCCCCACAAAAAAGCTGGAAGATGCATATGAGGCACTGCCACATTCTGTTGTTACAGGGTTGCTGCAAATAGGCGTGGCTCTGCACCGAGGGTCTGTCCAACACTCTCCCTCCCATTTAGGAGACCCTCTCCCCTATTTGGTCAAGGAAAGGTCCCAGCTCCTAGCTATAGATCTCAAAGCATGGCTGCTGTCCAGAAAACTGATCGACTGAAAAGCAATCATTGCTGGGGACCCCTTTTCAGGACTTTTTCTCTTTCCAGATCTGAAGACTGTAAGCTTTCACCAAAAACTAAACTATCTCCAAAATAACCCTGCTGGTCTGCTTCCTTATTCCTCATCTTAGGCTGCAGCAAGGGGCTGATCAAGAAAATAAAGCTGGGGTGGGGGAGGAAAGAGGGTATTATTTCTCTGCCTTGCCCCAGCCCCCAGCTAAAGCCAGAGAGCAGTGTTAGATGAGATCAGGAACCAAGGCCAGGGCCCCTCACTTGGGCCAAGGAGGAGCCACAGAACTCAGGCCAAAGTCCAAGGCCAGTTAACAGTGACTTGTCCCACTCACACCTTGCTGATTACTAATGGAAAGAGAAACTAGTTGGGGCCAAAGCTCGGGTCCTATTTTGGAGGTAGGGGCCCTGTTGGCACCTGCTAGTGCTTCAGGGCTCCTTTAGCAAGGTTCTGCTGGGGGAAAATGGGGTAGCGGCAAGAGGAGCCATCAAGTCTGTGTCAGCAAGTATGAGATCTGATACACAGCAGCGGCTGCCTGTTCTCCCCAGCCTTGCCAGGGAGGATGGCTGCGCACGGTTCTCAGGCTAAGCCTGGGGGGGCTGTGGGTGTTGTGGGTGGCAGGGAGTAGGAAAGAACTAGTCTGCTGGTTTTCCTCAAAGCCCTAGCTGTGTCGATTCACAGAAGCACGCAAGTGAGGTCCCTGAACAGAACAAGTGGCCCTCTGGCCAGTGAAATGTTCCCTGCAGAAGTCCTCTCTGGTCAAGCTCTGCAGCCCTTACCCTGAGGGCATGGGAATAGGCATTCAATTGTCACTGACGCCACACTGTACTGCACTGTCATTTGGCACAATTGAGGAGATGCAGAATGGTGCATGGAGCTGGAGATCATGAAGAAACCAGCATTCCTGTTTGGAAAAGGCAGCTCTCTTAGTCTGAAAGGGGTGAGGGAGTGAAGCTTCTAGGCTTAAAAAAGCTGGCTCATTTGATGCACCCCAAACTTTGATCCCCACCCCCATTTCATGCGGCTTCAGTGCGCAATAGGGGCCTGAACAACTCCGCCCACTTGCTCTCACTGCCCTGGTGCCTTCTACCCAGCTCCATTTTTCCTGGGTAAGGGGGACTGTATAGCCATTCCCTCTGACCCCTGCAGCCCACTCTCCATACAGACGGAACAGTCTTTGTCCTGGCCTTTCCCTGGAGACTGGTAGGGAGCCACCCACATCCACCTTCAAACCCAGGCCCACCTTGGCTGCCATTCATTTTCTCCTTCAACGCCCCCCAGTCTTCCTTCAACCTCACCTCCCACCACCCAAGCCAAAGTCCTCCCCCACCTCTCAACTTGGAAACCCATCTTCTCATGGACCCAAACACAATGCTCCTTCCTAACCCTCCCCCAAAATAAAAAATATCCTCCTTCCAGGTTCAACAGCCTTAACCCACTAAGTCACCTCAGAACCTTTTCTGGCTACCTCGCAAATCAACCACAAGGCCCCCTGTTGTCCTACTACTGGCAAGCACCATCCCCTTTCACCACCTCCATGACCCCAATCCTTCTCAGTCCCCAAAGGCTTCACGAGCATCTTCTAACCTCCACTGCCAACCACTCCAGGTTCTTCCTCCCCTAAGCCTGCACCTCACTCTCCTTTCCTCTGCAGTGCTCGTCTTTGGAGACAACCCCCACCAGAGTCTAATCTGCAGAAGTGACCGTCCATCCCTGACCCTCTCTTCTGCCCCCCAGAAGCCCAGTGGCCACCCCTCCAGGAACAACCCAGCAGCCGGGCCTCCCTCCGTTCCTCCTTTCCTGCATCCTTTCAGGACCCAAAGCCTTCATCAGGGCCCAGATGGCCCCCCTTCCCAGCCAATGTTTCTTACTTCGTCCGCCTGGGTTCCAACCACCCCAATTTTGAGATCAGACGCCCCACCCGGGGTCCAAAAATCCTTTTTTTGGTTCCAAACACCTCCTTTGAGGGTCCAGGTGCTCCATTCTGGGTTCAAATGCCTCCCTTTGAGGGCTGAGATGACCACTCGGGGGTCTAAACGTTCTACTTGGTGCTCAAGTGGCTTTTGGAAGCCCCAAATCCCTCTTCTGGGATCTAGACGTCCCGCTGTGCGTTCAAAAGCCGGCGACAGCGGGGTAGAGAGGGGTCCAGAGGCTCTCCCTGGGGCCCGGACGCCAAACACTCTGGGTTCACTCGCCCTCTCAGGGGTCCTGCCCCGCCGCGCCC